TGATAGCAAGCCGGTCAGCGGAAGGATGTGGGGATAGTGATTTGATGGTAAGATTTTCTGAAATGCATTCGACCGGAATTGCGATCAAATACATCCCGGAATGTCCCGATGAATGAAACGCTCTGTCGCAACCCGCCGTTATGTTGTCTATCCCGTCCTCACCTTTCTTTTTCGATGGGACAGTACGAATAAATATTATTATATTAGATTAATATTTAATTATATATATAATAATACAATAATTTATATGTGTCTGCACATGGCGAGCTGCGAGTACACAGCCATTACATCGACCGAGCGGACGGGACGGGAAGGGAAATATACTTTCCTCAGTTCTCTCTTTTTTTTTTTTTTTTTTTTTTTTTTTTTTGAAATAGCTTGACCTCATCTAAGGGAAGCGACAAACAACTTTTCGTATTATTTGTTTTCTTTTTTTTCCCCGTGTATTTTTTGTGTATTTTTCGTGTATTTTTGTGTATTTTTTTTGTGTATTTTTCGTGTATTTTTCGTGTATTTTTCTGTGTATTTTTCTGTGTATATTTCGTGTATTTTGTATGTTTCGTTTTTTTTTTTCTCTCTTTTCACTTGGCATTTGAAACCGACGATCTCTTTTTCGTCCGTCGATTCAAATGTCGAGTCCAGAAATAGAATTTTCTCCCGCCATTTCCAGAAATGGAAATTATTCCCGCCATTTCTAGAAAAGTGGAAATTATTCCCGCCATTTCCAGGAAAATGGAAATTATTCCCGCCATTTCCAGGAAAATGGAAATTATTCCCGCCATTTCCAGGAAAATGGAAATTATTCCCGCCATTTCCAGAAAAATGGAACTGGTGTTCCCGCCATTTCCAGAAAAAACGGAACTGGTATTCCTGCGATTTCCAGAAATGGAAATTATTCCCGCCAATTCCCAGAAAGAGAGAATGGAGAGGGAACCGGATCTTTCTGCGGAAGTTTCATAGAAGTGGCTTCGCTTGTACTTACACTCATCCTTTCTGGACAGAATGTGGTCGTCTTTACGGTCAGATACATCCGAGAAAGTACCAGTGTGAGAATGCCCCTTAGGGACCGACAAACGACGATCTGACGACTCTCGCGGGGAGGGAAACGGAAAAAAAAACAAAACAAAAAAAAAAACAAATCGTTCTTTCTGGAAATATCCAAAACTCTTTTTCCTGGGAATATCGGAAAAAAATAACCCGATAATTTCCCTTTTCTGGGAAATTGAATTAATTATTACGGTTAATTCCCGTAATTAATTTCCATTTTTTCTTCTATACCCTCTCTGTGAAAATGTTCACTCACATCCTCCTCTCCCTCCTCCTCCCTTCTCCCCCTCCCTTCTCCTCCCCCTCCCTTCTCCCACAACGGGGTGAAGATTAACCGTGGGGTGATATCACTGCAAATCTTTCGCGCACTGCTAGAAAGGTACTGATCTCATCAATCAAAAGTCTTTTTTTTTCCTTTTTTTCTTAGGACTCTCTTTTTTTTTTTTTTACGTTGACGTCATTGTTAATCTCTCAGCCGTTGATCTTATCCACCTGGACTGCCGTTTATTCTCGTTGACGTCTCGGCTTATTACAACGTCATTTTTTTTAATTATTTTTATTTTTAGGATGACTATTTATAGAGCACTCGTGATCCCCCCACCATGGGGCGCAATCTTGCTGACGTCCAAGATTATTTATAGAGGAGCACTCGTGACCCCCCCATCGCTCTTTCCCCTCTCCTTCCCCCCCCCCTCTCTCTCTCTCTCTCTCTCTCTCTCTCTCTCTCTCTCCCCATCGATCATTTGGGAGTAGCATTTTGATCATTCCGGGTTGTTCTCTTCGAGCCAGGTCGAGCTTTCCTTTCTAGGAAAGTTTTTTTTCTTTCCTCTTTATGTTCTGATCTGAAGAATGGTCATCTGGAGTGGTTCCTTTTTGGCTTAAGATTGGCAGCTGAGTGAGTGAGTAGGGTAGGGTAGGGTAGGGTAGGGTAGGGTAGGGTAGGGTAGGAGGCCCATCGGTTTCACAACTCAAGGTAGGTGGTAGGTTCACAGTACAAGTTCAGATCCCATAGAAAAGAATGGCACTATGTATATAATCCTTTCCCTTAACCTCTCCCCCCCCCCCCCTTCTTTCTCTCTCTCTCTCTCTCTCTCTCTCTCTCTCTCTCTCTCTCTCTCTCTCTCTCTCTCTCTCTCCCACACACACACACACACACACTGTTTCCCTCTCACACACACAAACACAGATATAGTCTCTTGCTCTCGTCTCTCTCTCTCTCTCTCTCTCTCTCTCTCTCTCTCTCTCTCTCTCTCTCTCTCTCTCACACACACACACACACACACACACAAATACAGATTTACTGTGTGTTTCTGTGCTTGGTGTTGGCAGCGGATGGAGAATGGAAGAGAGAGGGAGTCGATTCAAGTCCGAGTGGGACGTTTATGTGCTTTTTTTCTTCTTTTTTTTTGTGGGACCTTTATCTCTATTTGGACGTGTTTTCCTCTGAAAGATCGTCCTCCCTCCCCGCCGCCCCCCCCCCTTTTTCTTCGTGTTCTTAGACGTCGGATCCGAGGTGGATGCTCAGTCATCCTTCC